AGATGTGTATAAGAGTATAGAAAAGAATACGACATAGGGCTTATTATTAATATAGGCCACACACGTGTGTTTGAAACTAAATATAAGCATTTTCATCATGGTTTTATTTATTAAAATGAAAAAAAAAATCATAGGCCTATTCTTTCACCCATCATTACACATTGAGGCCCTTCTTTTAGGTAAAACGATCAATCTTAAATTTTCTTTCCCAAGTTTGGGACTATTATGTTTTTAAATAACTTAGAAGGTAAAGGAGGGCAAGCACAAGCTTCAACCCTAAACAATTTTTGTGTTTTTAATTCTAATTTCGTCGAAATTGATCAAAACTCCCTAAATGTGCAATTTTTAGAGGAAATTGGCCTACCTCAACAAGAAATGCTCTTATGTTATATATGGCCACACTCGTTTTTTTAAACCGAATATAAGCATTTTCCTTATGGCTTTATTACAAACATATTCTTTCAACATCATTACAAATTGAGGCCCTTCTTTTAGGTAAAACGATCTATCTTAAATTTTCTTTCTCTCTTTTGGGACTATGTGTTATAATTTCGAAGGCAAAGGAGAGCAAGCACAAGCTTTAACATGAAAAAAAAAATGTGCGCGAAGAATTTTTGTTTTTTTAATTATAATTTCGTCGGAATTGATCAAAACTCCCTAAAATGTGCAATTTTAAGAGGAAATTGGCCTACCTCAACAAAATATGTTATTTAAAAATTGAGGTTTTCAGGCACTTTCCCGGGTGAAAATGGCATTCAATGGGGAAAGATTTTCCAAAGATGGATATTTTCCCCTTGTCCCCCGGTGGTTACGCCACTGCTGAGAATATCTGGCGGCTTAGGTCAAATGCGCTATGGACACTTTTTGAAGGGGTTGCAGGTCGGGGTTGTGATATCTGTTCATTATATCTTCCTTTTTATTCTTGTCTTTATTTTTCTCTTCTCTTTTTCTTTTCCTTTTTCCTTTCTTTCTCTTTCCCTCCCTCACCCCACTTTCTTTTCTCTTCTTACCCAGCCCGGTACGACGGCTTGGCCAGCCCGGTAAAAACCGTCAGGGGGGACAGTCTGCCCGCCTGTCCCCGCCTGTTACGCCACTGCTTATAAGATGAATGGGAATATGAATCATGCAGATCTGGAATCAAATCTAGGTG